AAGAACAGTTTAACATTGTCCAGTTGTGTGGAGAGTGTCACCCAACGTATTCAGTTGAAGAACAGTTTAACATTGTCCAGTTGTGTGGAGAGTGTCACCCAAGTATTCAGTTGAAGAACAGTATAACATTGTCCAGTTGTGTGGAGAGTGTCACCCAACGTATTCAGTTGAAGAACAGTTTAACATTTCTCTACTATGCTGAGAGTTTCACCAGTATGCTGTTGGATCGTATGTCGACCAGTTCCCATATGAATGTCATCCTTGAAGTCATGTATGATATCGAAATGTCAGCAGCAGTATACTAGAGGCTCATTTAACTGCAGATGTTGTGTGGGGCAACCAAGAACAATAACTATCAATACATGGACAAAATGCAACAACAAATGAAGTCACCATACTTACATTTTTCTCATTTAGACAGCACTTTGTACACAGCTATTGATTGTTTGCCACCTTTTTGTAATAATATTAGATGTTTACTTTATCAGCATTTGTCTCTATAACTATTGCTTTCGTGGAGGAAATTTTGTAATTTTTGGTATAAAATATTTCAGTTGTTAATGTCTGAGCATTGGCCATTTACATTTTTGACATGTGATGCATATTAATAGAAGATTTGAAGGAGATGACCTTGGTAATCTTGTCATGGAGTAGACCATACCAACAATGATTATTTTCCAATATTTATGAATTATTTCTGAATTGCTTGATGTTTGTATCTTTGTATTTACATACTCTCACTCACACACACACTTTGTCACAATTGTATATTTAATCTAAGGTTGATAAAACGTAGTTAATGTGCCCTAAAAAATTCAAACAAATCATTATTGTACATAACCTTCTGTATAATATTACATTCTGTTTATTTCAGGAGCTTCTTGAAACGCATAAGTGTACAACATTAAAGTGGATTGATGCGGCAGTAATTCAGGTAAATCATATAATATAATCAAATGTAGCTCAGTAAAAAACCTTCACAAACAATTGTTCTCATATTGAACTATGTAAAATAAATATGGTTATCACTTACAACTCAGTGAGGACCTGGCATTGCCTGTTGGTTAGAGTGCTTGATGTGCAATCAGCAGATCAAAGGATCAAAATCTTTCACCAAACATCATTGACCCTTTCAGCTATGGAGGCATTATGATGTGATGGTCAATTTCACTATTTGATGGTACAGAGTAGCCCAATAATGATAAGTGGGGTTGACTACCTTCTTTGTTTGTAGCCTATTATTTCAAAATTTGTGACAGGTAGCAAAGACAGCCCTAGAGTGGCATTGCACAAAATTCCACAAATATCAGAACAACTATAACTCAGGGAACAGGAAATTAAAAATACTAAGCACAGTAAAACAAAGTTTTTCACATATACTTCATTAAAAAACTGGTAAGTACATATAAAACTTCATAAGAATTGAAAAGACAAATGATTACTAGAAAATGTTTAAAATCAAAGTGTGGAAATTGTTTGGTGTCTTACTGATTCATTACCTGAAATATACGTCTCTCATCCTACTTTCATTAAGAGTGTTACATTTTATCACGTTTTAATAACTGAATCATACGTGTTACAATACATATCTGTCATTCTAGTTTCTTTAGAGGTGTCAAGTCTTATATTGTTTCATTTCTATTTGATCCTAGTAATGTAGGCTAGTAACATTTATTGGAAGTGTGTAAGTAGTGGTGTAAATGAATAATAAGAGTTTTGGGTAATCTACGTTCATTATGGTGCTGTTAATGTTTAAAAAGGTCTTTTCATTTCCATTTAGCATGTTTTTGTGAAACAAAGTCGGTTGAGAATATTTTGTAAACAAAAAATTAATGTCCAAATTTATTTGTCAGACAAAGTATTGATTTACTTTTATAGGATTTTTTGTTATTTGTTTTTAGTGACATACAAATACTAAAGGAAACTGTGGATAGATGGTTTTTATACATATTTCTTTATTTTTGTAGTTATTTTTCAGTAGTGGAATTCTTGTAACAATCTTTTTATCTGAAAACTGCAATATAAAGAGAGTTCAGATTGATCGTCATCTGGTAGGAAAATTAGTTTCAGACCATATTGTAGAAGGTAAGTTTTATATAAACTTTTAACAGTCTTGCTAAGATGATATTTGTTATATCTCTTAACATTAAGATTAGAGACAAAAAATAATGATTTTGATTGTTTACTTAGTTTCTAAAACTAACTGAAGAAGTTAACAGAAAAGTGATGGATTATGGTTTAAATGCCAAAATCTGATAAAATATTGGAAAGAAAAGGGTTAACATTTGTGGCTATTTTGATGAGGACTTTAGGAATAGCATAATGAATTACACTATAGAAACTGGAAAGTAATTCTGTCTGAGATTTTAAAGGCAAACAATAGTAGTGTTTTAAAAAATAAAGTTTTTTAAGGGCTAAAAAGTGTTATTACAGTTTTTCAAGATTAAAATTTAATCATATCTTTTCAAGAAGTTATAAATTTCATCTTGCTTTTAAGAATTAAAGAAAAATATTTTGCTCATATAGAAGTAAACTCTTATTTTTGGATGCCATGTTACAAAGTATTACAAGAAGACTTCTAAACTTTTTTAGTCATCATTGAAGATAGCCATCTCCTGGTTTCTTATGTTGAGCCCAAATTGTCATATATTTACTTTGGTAAACAGCAAAGTTCTTCCCCTGCTAGAAAGTATGAAAAGCTTGCTGCAATGGATCCAAAAATTGTCACGTTTGACCTTATTGGCCCGACCAATCGTCACATTGAGAGGCGGTTGTCATCAAACTCTTTACATGATGCTGTAAGCTTTTTAATGAACTTGCTTTATTTGTATAATATAAAATTTGAATCTTTGCTTGTCTAGTATTAAAAACTTATTCTTAATTATAGTCTAGTTCTTATGAGTGAAAAATGTAGCATATATTATTAGCTTTTCTGTTTGGTTGTGTTAACTGAAATTCTAATCACTTTGTTATGGGTGTACATGAATGTAACAATGCATGGATGAAGAGTTTGTGTAAATTTTAAAAGATGTTCGTATGTAAACATCTGGTGAACTTCATGTAGACAACTATAAACTTTCAGTTTATCTAAAATCAAGAAAAAAACTGTATATGTTTCTATTAGCTGGCCTGTCATGCTGAAAGCTGTACATGGCAATTTTTTATTAACATCGACTTCAAAGTTTACTTTTACCCATCTTTCATTTTATTTCTTTGCCCACTGAATAGAAGTAACAACACTTGTGCTGAGCTTCAGTTGACACATAAAACAATCCTGTTTTGTACTGCATCTTTTGACTGGCATGGATAAAACAAAATAGCAAAATTTTCTTTATTTCAATAAAAAATAAGTTCCTCTAGCAAGACACTTCATCCATTTGTACCAGTAGAAGCTGCTGTAAGTTACCAACTTTTAAAGAAACTGTCAAAAGGTGTTTTATCTGTTTATGAAAAGTTCATTATAGATGAGGATTATCATAAATGTTCTGTTATCATTGAATGAAAACATCCATTTGTACCAGTAGAAGCTCTGTAAGTTACCCACTTTTAAAGAAACTGTCAAAAGGTGTTTTATCTATTTATGAAAAGTTCATTTTAGATGAGGATTATCATAAATGTTCTGTTATCATTGAATGAAACATTTTCTTTTCGAAAGTTTCTGATTAATGAGATAGAAGAGAAACCCCAAGAACCCCCATAAAAACTGTCAACACATTTACACTCCTCACAAGAGCTTAGAAAATATAAGTGTAGTCAGCACTGAAGAATGTATCCAGGCCTAATTTTTAGTTCCAGTTACACATTAGCTTCATTCAGAGACTGCAGAGCCACGATCTGGGCTGGAAGCAGAATATAAAGAACCTTGGTGACAGTCTATTGTGTCATTGTTGGAGATATTCTGTGGTACCTTACAGAGGTACTCTAACTTGGTGACAGTCTATTGTGTCATTGTTGGAGATATTCTGTGGTACCTTACAAAGGTACTCTAACTTCGTGACAGTCTATCGTGTCATTGTTGGAGATATTCTGTGGTACCTTACAAAGGTACTCTAACTTGGTGACAGTCTATCCTGTCATTGTTGGAGATATTCTGTGGTACCTTACAAAGGTACTCTAACTTGGTGACAGTCTATCCTGTCACTGTTGGAGATATTCTGTGGTACCTCGAACCTTACAAAGGTACTCTAACTTAGTGAGGATGTGACCTTGAACCTTACAAAGGTACTCTAACTTTGTGAGGATGTGACCTTGAACCTTACAA